GGATGGCAGCATGTGTGCTGGGACACACCCTGCTTGGATCGGAGAATTCCTAGGGCCACCCCCAAACTCCTCCCCTGGAGTCGGCACCCTGTGCATCTATGAGCCTCAAGGCCTACTCAAATGCCCCTCAGGGTCCCTCCTTGCCCCATGGGAGTCATGAAACACATCAGGCCTCTTTCCAAGGAGCAGAGAGAGCATCCTGTGCTGTGGTCCAGCACTGCCCCCAGAGGCCATCGAGCCCAGCTGTCCTGGGAGCTTGGGCCCATATTCACAGTCACACAGCCCTGCTGTCCCTGTCACCTCCTCCCTAATGATTCTGACAGATGACAGAGCTTGTGCTGGGTATGAGCGGATGTAAGAGTGAAGAGTCTGAACGAGGGTGTGAGGGACTGTACTATGATCGCGGGCATGAAGGGGCCTTCCCCTGGCTTCCTGATTCTTGGTGTGTCCTGGATAGTTGGGGAAGAAAAAAAAGGCATCGCTGACCTACTGTGTGCCAGGCATTTGTACATCCTGTATTCATTTGTTCTTCACTTTTACCTGAAAGGTAGTTACTTTACCCCCATGTTACAGAGTCTCAGAAGGTTCGGTGACTTCCTTGGTATCATCGTGATTGTGGACAAGGCTGGATTCTGTCATCTTCCAGAAGCCAGATGTTTCCACTTCCTGGCCAAATGGCTAGCAGCTGAATAATACGGTAATAGAGGCGGCATGCCCATGGCTCACACAGACCCCAGATCCAGTCCCAGCGGCCCTTTCCCTGGGTTTCTGTGGGATACTGACCACTTCTGTTGCCTCCCTTGGTCCCACTGCTCTGCCCTGTAAAACCCAAAGAAGTCTCTACCTGTTCTCTCGGCACCCCGTGTGACCCCCAACTCTGCCTCCGGTTCTGTGCCCTGCCTTTGGGCTCACTCAGGTATGAATAAGGGCAAGGCCAGGGTAGGGGCAGGACCCAACAACAACCTGCCTCTAAGACAGGAGGGCCAGCTCTCCTGCCAGGAGACGGACAGAGGACCCCGTGGAGTAGAAGATCATCCCCCAGCCACCCAAGGGTATAGTAAAGCAGAAAAGTTGCAATCCACAGGCTCACAAATATGCTTTTGGTTGGCTTGCACAGTGGTTTTTTGTTTTGTTTTGCTTTTAATGTGGATTTGTTGCCAATATTTAAAAATAGAGAAGTTTCAAGAAAAAAGAATCCAGATTTCTGGCTTCTCTTGAAAAACTGGAAGTTTTGAAAATCTGTCTTGAATTGGCTGTCCGGGGCTAGAGTTGAGGAGCAGAGGTGTGCTCTCTGTCCATTCAGCCACAGGGGCCTGCCTGACCCCTGTCAGCATCTAGGTTTGCGTCTCCTGATGCAAGGCATATGAGCTTAGGCTCTGGATACAGCAGCCTGCATTAGTCCAAGCGTGTGGCTCAAGCTCAGCGTGACTATCAGAAAGTTCCCTGACATCTCTGGGCCTGTTTCCTCACTGGTAAAATGCTACTTGATGCTCCAAGACTTCAGACTGAAGGTATGGAAAGCTACTGCTGTGGTTTAGCCTGCTGCCGGGCATGTAGTGAGCACTCAGTAATTGCAACCGTGGTCCTGATCACTCCAGCCCTCTCCCACCAGGCGCCAAGAGGCCTGGAGCAGCAGCAGCAGGTGGTCGCTCCCAGCCCAGCTCTGGCCCATCCTGGAGCTCCCCTTGGCCGCACACACAATCCCGTCTGGGTGCTGCATCCCCAGACAACAGCTCAGCAGCCACTCAGTACTCCAGCGCCGTCTCTGAGGCCTACGGCGCTGCCAGCCTGCTGGCCCGTGAGTTCAGGCTCTTTTCCCCGTGGGCAGGAAACAGCTCACCATGGGCCCTTGGACAAGTTCTTTCTCCATCCTGAGATCTCAATTTCACCAACTGCAGGATGAGCCTGTGGTCTCCATCTCCTTTGAACCCTCACATCCTGGGACTTTTGCAGACAGGCAGACAATGAAGGCCAAAGCCTCACCAGGCAGGAGTGAATTTGTTAGGATTCTTTTGGCTGCAAGGGCAGAAACCTGTCACAAAGGGGCTTGAAAAAAAATATTTTGTATTTGTTTTTCTGTGACTTGCTATTTCACTTAGCATAATGTCCTCAAGGTTGATTCATGTTGTCACATTACAGAATTTTCTTCTTTTTTTAATACAATCTTTGTATGAATATACCATATTTTCATTTTGCATTCATCTGTCAATGGACATTTAGGTTATTTCCACATCTTGGCTATTTTGAAGAGTGTAAAGCACCTAAAATGGTCAAATTCATAGAATCAAAGAACTGAATGGAAGCTGCCAGGAGTTGAGGGGAAGGGGAAATTCAGCACTATGGACAGAAAGTTCCAGTTAAGCAAGATTAATAACTTCTAGAGATCTGCTGCATAACACTGTACCTATAGTCAACAGGACTTTATTGTATACTTAAAAATGTAAGAGGATAGTTCTCATGTCAAATGTTCTTACCACAAAAAAATGAAATTTAAAAAATAAAAACGGTAGTGTAGTGGCTCATGTAGGAGGAAGCCTGGGGGTTTGGGGCTGCAGGTAGGGCTGGATCCAGGTGTTCTGCCAATGTTGATGGTTCTCCTTCACTCTCATCTCTCAGCTCTGCTTCCTTCTGTGTTGGCCTGATCCTCATTTCTGGGCTTTTTTTTTCAGACGGATATGATGACAGTCTTCTACCACCATAACTCCAAAAGCAGGTAGTATCTCAGAAGGCACCCCAGGGAAGATGCCAAGTGGCCTGGCTGAAGTTGTGGGTTCATCCAAGTCAGTGGAAAGATGGGGTGAGGTACTGTGGTTAGCTCCTACCAAGGATGACATAGAGTAGAAAAAGTCTTCCTCAAACATAGGAGACTTGACTTTAGAAAAAGGTGAATGGAAATGGGTTATGCAATCTACAATAACAGCAACCACTGGCCATTCCAGAGGCCTTTAGTGCAGAGAAAGAGCCTACTGAGAGAAGCAGGGGTAATCTTCTAATCAATAAAGTATTTGTGCATGTACCCTATGCTTGGAGCAGGAGGGTACAGAATCATGAACACATGATTCTAGCACAGAGAACCAATAAGAAAAGTGCCCCACATCACACCAGCCTGGGATGCCAAGGGCCAGCTCTGTGTGTGATAAGGTAGTTACTTTACCCCCATGTTACAGAGTCTCAGAAGGTTCGGTGACTTCCTTGGTATCATCGTGATTGTGGACAAGGCTGGATTCTGTCATCTTCCAGAAGCCAGATGTTTCCACTTCCTGGCCAAATGGCTAGCAGCTAAATAATACGGTAATAGAGGCGGCATGCCCATGGCTCACACAGACCCCAGATCCAGTCCCAGCGGCCCTTTCCCTGGGTTTCTGTGGGATACTGACCACTTCTGTTGCCTCCCTTGGTCCCACTGCTCTGCCCTGTAAAACCCAAAGAAGTCTCTACCTGTTCTCTCGGCACCCCGTGTGACCCCCAACTCTGCCTCCGGTTCTGTGCCCTGCCTTTGGGCTCACTCAGGTATGAATAAGGGCAAGGCCAGGGTAGGGGCAGGACCCAACAACAACCTGCCTCTAAGACAGGAGGGCCAGCTCTCCTGCCAGGAGACGGACAGAGGACCCCGTGGAGTAGAAGATCATCCCCCAGCCACCCAAGGGTATAGTAAAGCAGAAAAGTTGCAATCCACAGGCTCACAAATATGCTTTTGGTTGGCTTGCACAGTGGTTTTTTGTTTTGTTTTGCTTTTAATGTGGATTTGTTGCCAATATTTAAAAATAGAGAAGTTTCAAGAAAAAAGAATCCAGATTTCTGGCTTCTCTTGAAAAACTGGAAGTTTTGAAAATCTGTCTTGAATTGGCTGTCCGGGGCTAGAGTTGAGGAGCAGAGGTGTGCTCTCTGTCCATTCAGCCACAGGGGCCTGCCTGACCCCTGTCAGCATCTAGGTTTGCGTCTCCTGATGCAAGGCATATGAGCTTAGGCTCTGGATACGAGCAGCCTGCATTAGTCCAAGCGTGTGGCTCAAGCTCAGCGTGACTATCAGAAAGTTCCCTGACATCTCTGGGCCTGTTTCCTCACTGGTAAAATGCTACTTGATGCTCCAAGACTTCAGACTGAAGGTATGGAAAGCTACTGCTGTGGTTTAGCCTGCTGCCGGGCATGTAGTGAGCACTCAGTAATTGCAACCGTGGTCCTGATCACTCCAGCCCTCTCCCACCAGGCGCCAAGAGGCCTGGAGCAGCAGCAGCAGGTGGTCGCTCCCAGCCCAGCTCTGGCCCATCCTGGAGCTCCCCTTGGCCGCACACACAATCCCGTCTGGGTGCTGCATCCCCAGACAACAGCTCAGCAGCCACTCAGTACTCCAGCGCCGTCTCTGAGGCCTACGGCGCTGCCAGCCTGCTGGCCCGTGAGTTCAGGCTCTTTTCCCCGTGGGCAGGAAACAGCTCACCATGGGCCCTTGGACAAGTTCTTTCTCCATCCTGAGATCTCAATTTCACCAACTGCAGGATGAGCCTGTGGTCTCCATCTCCTTTGAACCCTCACATCCTGGGACTTTTGCAGACAGGCAGACAATGAAGGTCAAAGCCTCACCAGGCAGGAGTGAATTTGTTAGGATTCTTTTGGCTGCAAGGGCAGAAACCTGTCACAAAGGGGCTTGAAAAAAAATATTTTGTATTTGTTTTTCTGTGACTTGCTATTTCACTTAGCATAATGTCCTCAAGGTTGATTCATGTTGTCACATTACAGAATTTTCTTCTTTTTTTAATACAATCTTTGTATGAATATACCATATTTTCATTTTGCATTCATCTGTCAATGGACATTTAGGTTATTTCCACATCTTGGCTATTTTGAAGAGTGTAAAGCACCTAAAATGGTCAAATTCATAGAATCAAAGAACTGAATGGAAGCTGCCAGGAGTTGAGGGGAAGGGGAAATTCAGCACTATGGACAGAAAGTTCCAGTTAAGCAAGATTAATAACTTCTAGAGATCTGCTGCATAACACTGTACCTATAGTCAACAGGACTTTATTGTATACTTAAAAATGTAAGAGGATAGTTCTCATGTCAAATGTTCTTACCACAAAAAAATGAAATTTAAAAAATAAAAACGGTAGTGTAGTGGCTCATGTAGGAGGAAGCCTGGGGGTTTGGGGCTGCAGGTAGGGCTGGATCCAGGTGTTCTGCCAATGTTGATGGTTCTCCTTCACTCTCATCTCTCAGCTCTGCTTCCTTCTGTGTTGGCCTGATCCTCATTTCTGGGCTTTTTTTTTCAGACGGATATGATGACAGTCTTCTACCACCATAACTCCAAAAGCAGGTAGTATCTCAGAAGGCACCCCAGGGAAGATGCCAAGTGGCCTGGCTGAAGTTGTGGGTTCATCCAAGTCAGTGGAAAGATGGGGTGAGGTACTGTGGTTAGCTCCTACCAAGGATGACATAGAGTAGAAAAAGTCTTCCTCAAACATAGGAGACTTGACTTTAGAAAAAGGTGAATGGAAATGGGTTATGCAATCTACAATAACAGCAACCACTGGCCATTCCAGAGGCCTTTAGTGCAGAGAAAGAGCCTACTGAGAGAGGCAGGGGTAATCTTCTAATCAATAAAGTATTTGTGCATGTACCCTATGCTTGGAGCAGGAGGGTACAGAATCATGAACACATGATTCTAGCACAGAGAACCAATAAGAAAAGTGCCCCACATCACACCAGCCTGGGATGCCAAGGGCCAGCTCTGTGTGTGATTCTGGCTACAAATGATGTAAAGGGATCAGGAAGCTTGTAAGAAGCCCATCGTGGCTGAGGAAAGAACACAGCTGGAAGTGTGAGGCCATGTGCTAGAATTTAAAATCTGCAGAGGAAAAACCGAAAACATGTGCAGCATGAAAGGTGAGAGTGGGATAGATTACGAGGGGCAGAGGAAACCTGGATTTGACTGGCAAGATACAAATGAAGAAGCATGACATTGGGAAAAACTGGAACAAACTATAGGTTAATATATATTTCATTCTGATACGGGAATGGATGTTTAAGCATTAAAGCAGTGGGAAAAAATCAGATCGAAAGAAAAAGTGCAATATATTTCACAGAGAAAAAAGTAAAGCATACACTTCAAAACATCATGAAATTAAAAGGCAAGTTGGGGGAAATATTTCTATGATTAAAGTATATTATAAGATAAATGCGTCCTAAAAAAAAGAGGCCCAACAGAAAAGTGAGCAGAGGACCTAATTCCAAAGGGGAAATGAGCAATGGTGTAGCCTTCTTCCTCCCAAATGCACCACGTAGACCCCCTCCACATCCCATTCTCTACCTTCAGGCTGCTAGACTCAAAATAAAACATCTTGTTGATCCACAGTGGGGCTTACTGAGGTGAAGGCCTGCCTAGAGGACGTCCAGACATTGAATTAGCCCCTCAGAGGCCCTTCATCTGGCAGCTTCTTTTTCTAAAGCAAATGCCTTTTGAAAACTTAACATCAGCTCTGGTAAGACGGGGTGGGAGAGAGCAGCCTCTCAGTGGCTCCAGCGGTCCATAAAGGGCAGAAATAGCCTCATTCGGAACCAGATGCTGCTCCCCCTACTCCTACACCCAGGTGACACCTCCTGGAGCCAGGTCAGTCCAGTGTGCCCACAGGGCAGACAGGAACACCAAGGGTCTGGGTGGAAATGTTAGTAAGCTGTCATAAACCAAGAGACCAGTGGCGCCTGCCCACTACCCTTGTAAGTAGCTGACACCACAGTTACCAGGCCAGCAGCCTCAGATCTACTGGCAATTATCACAGATTATGTAACTGTCCTTATTAAGGAGCACTGCCTGGTGGCAGGGCAGTGCTAGACTCAGGAGGGCTGGGATTCTGGCTCTGAGACTCACTAGCCTGTGCCTTCCTTACCCTCTGAACCTGGTTCCCTTTTCTGTACAATGAGAAACGGTAAGACCTCCCTTGGAGACCTGGTGCTCCACCTGAATAAGTAAGTAAAGGACACAACATAGTCTCCACCAGTGAGGAGAGAGGACCCCCACTATGTCCTAGCTCACATCGATCACCTCGAAGTCTACAAAAATTTCATGGTGAAGTGGGTGCATGAATGATTCTTGACCAGGACAAATTAGTCCCAACAGAGGCCTTACATGCCTTCACCTCTGTTAGTCACAGGAACACCTGACCAGCAAGTGGGACTCTCCTCACTGACCACTGGCAGCAAGAACCCCCTCATGGGGGCTGGTGGTGTGACCACAGCCTGCCACCGTCCTCTGATGCATTCACTTGTTAGGGGACCCATGTAGGGTGGAGGACCCAACAAGTCAGTATTCTGCAAAGAATCTGAGATTTCAGAGAAGTGGTGGTTATCAGGCTAAAAGAGTGCTTGACAGACATCCAGTCCACCCCTCGTCTGAATCAGGACTACAGCCCCAGCAGGCACGCCCCATACCACTTGGATCCGAGGTGCGAGGTCTCTCACCTGGATCATTGTACCAGCCTCCTTACTGGTCTCCTTGCTTCCACCCATCTCCTTGCAGCCTTTGTCCAACACAGCAGCTTGTGATCCTGTTGAAACAGAAGTCAGACCACATCACTCTTCTGCTTAAAACCCTTCCTCTAATGGGTCCCTATTTTACTGAGTAAAATGCAACTTTCTTACAAGAGCCCTAAGCCCTGGACAATCTGATCCAGCTGTAGCCTCCCAGATTTTCCTCATCTACCACTTTCTCCTCTGATCATTCTATTCTCACCATACTGACCCCCTGGTGTTCCTCCAACACACCAGACATGCTCCTGCTCCAGGACATTTGCACTCACTATTCTTTCTGCCTGGAACATTTCCCCCAAGATACCTACATAGCTCCCGTCCTTCATATCTTTGCTCCAATGTCGTCCCACTTAAATTGCAACATCTCCCCTTACCCTACCACGACTGGCTATGTTCCTTATCCTGCTTTTTTTTCCAGAGCATTTCTGACAAATGTCATACCACGTAATCTACTTCTTATGCTTTTTATCTGCTCCCCCCACAGCACCCCCACCCATTACAATATGAATTCACAGGGGCAGGCACTAAGAAAGTATTGGCTGGATGAAGAAGGGGCAGAACCAACCTCTGCCGCTCTGTAACTTCTCCCACGGGTCCCAACTCTGCACTCTGAAGGATGGAGACCCCCTCCTTCAAGACAGCTCTCCTGGCCTTTCTGCTCTTTGGTGACAGTATCACGTTTTTCTCCAACTGCTTCTCACATGACAGCTCCTTCTCCTCAAGACTTAACTCCATCTGTTGGCATCCTCTTAGAAGTGTAGAATGTAAACTCAAGCCAGGTAAAAACGTCTGGATGTGGACAGAAGGAAAACGAAGACATCTGGGGAGGGAGGAAGCCAGACAAAAATCCAAGGAAGAGAGGTCTGTGGGGTTCTTTCATGCAGGCCGCCTGCCATTGGACTGAGAAGCCCCCTGCTTGTCCTACCTTCCTCCCCTCAAGCACTTTAACTGACAGCCTGACAACCATCAGGTCCCTGTTTTCCAGAGAAATTCAGTGAGTCTACCCAGGTGAGCACCAGATTGAGGGCACAGGACAGAAGGCCTGGCAGGTGAGGGGAGGCGCTGGATACACCCCTCCCCACCAGCAGGAAGCAGCTGACAGTATTTCTGGCTCTCATCCCACTCCCCACCCCCATCTCAGCAGGGAGCGCAGGGCTGGGGGAGAGTGAGCCAGCATCGCTGACCTTGACACTCCAGAGATAGAAAGGTTTAGAAGGGTCTAATGAAAATAAACCCTGCCTGGGCCAGATGCGGTGAACACTACGTGAGGAAGTGCCATGGTCAGCAGGGCACTGAAGAGAAGAGTGAGCGGTTCTTTGGAATCACAAGACACACGGCCCCCATGATTAGCGGGTGGCTCAGGTGAGCTTCCCCACTCTGTTCTGCTTTCAATCTGGCAGAAGTGACTCAGTGGGGGCTTTGCCCACGGCATTCACTCTGTATTTCCAGCCCCCATTTCAGCAGGGGACAGCATCTTAGTCAAGCCAAAGTCTGATTCGGTGGAGAAACCAACGTGTCACAGTGCCCTGGGCATATTAAATAATATTTACAAGGGGATGACGTCGGGAAAATAATTACTGATGGTAAGAGGCAATCAGAGGTGGGGAACTCCTCCACTGCTCAAGTGGTGAGAAATTAAGACAGAATGGAGCTCAGAGCAGCAAGGGTTTGTCACAGGGACAGCAGAAGGGGTTGGAAAGTCACTACCTCTGCGGATTCTGTTAATAGGATAAAGCAGCCTTGCAAATAAGAGCCAGACCCCAGGAGACCTGCATTTGAGGGATTTTAAAATCAGGCCAGGTCCTGCCAATAGCTTTGCTTTTAGATGTGTTAGAACTCGAAGGGAGCTCAGAGATCAGCAACGCCAGTAGTTCCCAGTTTGGAAGGTTTCTGCCTTCAAAATAAAGTAATAATTAATTTGCTTTCACATTTTCTTTTTACTCAGCAAAGACACACAGAGGAGTGCCAGCTGGGATAAGCAGGAGAAGACAGGGTTTGTTACTCCATCCCCAAACAAGAGACCTACTGGCTTTTAGTCAGCCCAGATATATTATCCTGTATAAATGTAGTTTCCTTTTGAAAACATTTAAAATTATATAAAGGTCCACTTCTAATACCTGAGGGAACCTGGACAATCTATATGAGAAAACCTATATCCAAGCAAACTCTCTTATAGGTTAAGCCAACTGAGGCCCAGAGAATGTAAGTGGCTTGCCCAGGATCACACAGCTGGCTGTCAACAAGGTCAAGGCCAGACCTGAGGAAGCAGGGAAGACTGTCCCAGACATGCAAGGGCAGGGCAGGAACAAACTGCGACTGAATGCAGGGGCTAAACATGGGCTATGGACACCAATGGGATTTGGCTTAATTCTTATCCTCAATCCTTACTAGCTGTGGAACACCAGGAAAATGATTGAAGCTCTTTGAGCCCATTTTCATATCAATTCAATGGGGATAATAACAGTACTTCCCACATATCGTTGTGAGGGTGAAGTGAAGGAACAGAACAGAGCCCTGAGTAAATAGTGGCTACTTTTTCTTAACTCTTGCTTAGATAGTGTGTGGGTTTGGGGGCGTCTGTGTGAACATAAAACCAACAAGCTTGGAGATCAAGGTCACAGGATCCAACTTCCAGGCGCTGCCCTGTCCTGACAATGCCAGTGGGAGGCAAATTCTGTCCCAGTGGAGCTCTAGGTACTGAACCGCAACGCTGTTACTTCCAGATAGTTCCTCAGAACTGCATGTGCCTCAGAACTTCGGCCACCTCCAGATTCACTGCTTCTGAATCCCTGCAGGGTGGGGACGTGGGAATCTGTACTTTTAAAAATTAAGATAATTTACATACCATAAAATTCACCGATTTACAGTATACACATTTGGTAGTTTTTAGTATATTCACGTTGTACCCACCACTAATCCCAGAACACTTTCATCATCCCCCAAAGAAACCCTGTGCTCGTCAGCGGTCACTCCCCATTCCCTCTCCCATTTCCTGGCAACTGCTGGTCGCCTTATCCATGGATTTGTCTATTCTGGACAATTCTTAAGAATAGACTCATATAACATGTGGTCTTTGTGTCTAGCTTCTTCCATGCAGCAGTGTTTTCCAGGCTCATCCATGCTGTGGCACGGATCAGGGCTTCATTCCTTTGGAATCTGCCCTTTTAATTAGCTCTCCAGGTAGTTCTGATGAGTAGACTGTGGGGAAGAAAAGAATAGCAAGTTCACACAAAGCGAAACTTCTGGCTATAAAGACATGGGGGCCTAAATCTTTCTTTTAGGTGCGCTTATCTCAGAAGCCCCACTGGTAAGAGGAAGCGATGCAGGTTGCTTGCCTCCTCCCGTGGCTGCAGACATTGGGCAGGGTCTCTGGATGCTAGGCAGGGACGTATGTCTGCAGACGGCGGCCTGGCTGCACTGGGAACTGGGCAGACTAATGTAAGAGAGACTCAAACAAGAGGATTTGGTCTCAACTCAGACTTTAATGTACATTATGCTCTTGGAAAACATCTCCAAGGAAACAAGCAGAACCAAAAGTCTTAACCAGCAGGGATTCTCATTCAGAAGCCTGGTGTGAGCTGCAGCCTCAGAAAAGAACGGCACAGGCATTCCGATGGTAGTACAACAGTTTGAGGTTAGAGTGGCAGAGCCTGTGTGAGTGATGGGCACTCTCAGGATTCCCAGGAAACCACAGTGTCTCGATTCCTGTGGCCGACAACTCTACAGCAGGACTGGGAAGATAGAGGCTGACCAGGTCATCTCCAGAACTCTGAATAAAGGCACAGCACTTAGACCAGAGAAGCCTGTCCAGAGCAGAGCCCTTCTCCGTTGTTGAATCTCCAGGTTATCAGAAAGTCATGTGGCTATGGTGAGGAATAGGGCTATATGGATGGGCTGCCAAATCCTGCTTCTGCGTCTGAGGCCTCAGAATGGAATAGATGGGAAGGGTGTGGCACCAGCAAGGCCCTTAAGGTCAGGGTCACAACAATCTTGGAAGATTACCCACTGGGACCTCTGGACAGAAGGCAATGTAGACTGAGAAAGCAAAGGCTGACCACTTGTCAAACTCAACCCATCTTCTTTGTAATGCCTTCTCTAATCTGGGGCTCCTAAGCAGTTATGTGCCTGTGTTTTTTTGTGATGTGTTTCCACTGAACAAGGGGCAGGCAGAAATTCTGGCTCATCTCCCTATCACCCTCTGTTTAACTTTTAAAAAATTACAACTAACATCTCAGACCCCTGGGCAGTCAAGGGTTTCTTGTTTTGTAACCATCCTATGGAATAAGCAATCAGCGATCTTGGGCATTTGGCCTAATTCCTTCTCATTTCAGGGGAAGTAGGCTGCTGCTGGGCCAGGGCTTTCCCAAGAGCTCCTGTAATCTGGTCTCCAGGCAGGGCAGCACCAAGGCCAGGCTGCTGGGGAACCCATGAAGGGGCCTTCAAGAAGGGTACAGCCTCTTTGGCACTGAAGGAACTTATTACGAGTGAAGGAGAGAACTCTGACTCCGTCTCTGCAGTGGGCCCCCGCCCTGCCAGGTCCCAGCAGGAAGGCGTGAACGCAGAGGCGGCTTGCAGCTGCGGGAAGGCGCCACCCCGGCTGCGGCTACCCAGTCCTCGGCTACCCAGTCCTCGCGTCCTCCGGGAGCTCCACCACCACTGGGGCGCAGTCCTCCGGCTCCGCCTCAAAATCCCACCGGAACTTCTTAGTCAGGTGAGCCCGGAACTTTTCAGCCTTCTGCCTCAGGGTGGCGTCCACGGCAACGCTGCAGGCAGAGGAAAAGAAAACCTAGAGAGAACAGAGTTAAGTCACTCCTGAGAAAACAGGGGGCCAAGAAAGCTGCGGGAATTCCATGACAGCGCTCATCTCTCTGGGACGGGTGATCAGCTGGTGGCACAGGCCCAAGGACACCTGCTGCGCACCCCCCAAGCCCAGAAGGAAGGTCCAAACCCAGCTGAGGGGCTGGGGCAGGGCTGGAATGGAAAAGTCCTACCCTGGATAGAGATGCCCCACTGAGAGTAAGGCCAGTGGGGCCATCACTCGGGCCCTGCCGCCTGGACAGCCCTACTGGGCACCTGGGCAGGAACTCAGAGGAAGACGCAGTAGCTCCACCCCCTGGTACGAAAAAAAGGCCTGGGGCCTTATAAGCCCCAAATCCCAAAAAGTCCCAGGCGCTAAACCAAAGAGGCTGAACTGCTGCCCTAATCTAACTGGGCCACAGGCTATCAGTTGGAGGTTTTTATTCCCCTTAAAAGCTATCTTTGATGTCTTTTTAAAAATTGTAATAATACACACATAACACAAAATCTATCACTTTAATGATTTTTATACCATTTACATTACTTTTACATTTAAAAACTATATATTTAGCATTTTAAGCATTTTTAAGTGTACAGTTCAGTGACATTAAGATTAACAATATTGTACAACCATCACTATTACCTGTCACTAGAACTTTTTCATCTTCCCAACTGAAATTCTGTACCTATTAAACACTAACCCCCCATTTCTTCCCCCAGCCCTGACAGTCACCATCTACATTCCTTCTCTATGAATCTGACTAGTTTAGGCGCCTCATGTAAGTGGAATCATACAGTTCTTGTCCATTTGTGCATGGCATATTTCACTTCGCCTTAAGTTTTCAGGGTTCATTCATGTTGTAGCGTGTCACAATATTCTTCCTTTTTAAGGATGAATGATATTCCACTGTATCATATATATTCCATTCCTCATTTTGTTTTCCAGTCATCTCTCAATGGACTATTGGGTTGTTTTGGCATTTTGGCTATTGTAAATAATGCTACTATGAATACGGATGTAAAAACATCTCTTAAAGAGTACCTGCTTTCAGTTTTTTTTTGGTATATCTCCAGAAGAGAAGTTCTTGGACTATAAGGTAATTCTGTTTAATGTTCTGAAGAACCACCATGCTGTTTTCTGCAGTGGCTGCACCATTTTACATTCTCAGTACCAATAAACAAGGGTTCCAATTTCTCCACATCATCACCAACATCTGCGATTTTCTGTATTTTTTTTATAAAACCCATTCTCAGGGGTGTTAAGTGGTATCTCATTGTAGTTTTGATTTACATTAGTGATGCTGAATATCATTTCATGTTTTTATTAGCCATTTGTATATCTTGTTTGGAGAAATGTCTATTCAAGTCCTTTCCTCATGTTTAATCAGGTTGTTTTTTGTTGTTGTTGATGAGCTATTAGAGTTCTTTATATATTCTGGATAGCAATCCTTTGTTTTGGTATTCCTTTCAATTCAGTTTCATTTAATGTAAACACGGGCAGGGGGCAGAACAGTAATTTTCTCTACAGCTGACATACCAGTCCAGATTGTCCTGGATCCCAGTGCCTTCTGAGAGTAACAGCAAACCCATTACTCCTCATACTATTTTACTGTTTTCGAAAAAGTTTCAGAGTATCCCAACTGATTCTCACAACACCCTGGGAAGACACACTAGAATGCCTATTTTACAGAAATGGAGGCTGAGAGGAGTTAAATGACTGGATCAAAACTATCCAGAAAGGAAGTTTTTCGCAGACTACCCGTTAGCTCCCCACAGGACCACCCGCCAGACACAGGAGCATGAGCGGGCAAGGAGCCTTTTCCCCCACTTCACCCTCAGGCCAGACTCGGCCTGCAGATTTTGCTGAAAGGAATCTGGGCTCCAGGGCCCTGGACTTGGCAAAGGTAAGAAGTGCACTTGGCAGCTGATTCCAGGGACAACACCCTTCCTGCTGCCTTCTCCACTGTCCTTCTGTTAGCAGGAGTGGGGCCCATTTGCAGTGGTCTTTGGAGCCATTCTGTTGGAGTGGTAGCAGGCACAGAAGCGATGCGGAGTGGGGGATACAGAGGCAGAAGTTGGGAGGTTGCAGGATTTGTTTTCATGAACTTGGGAACTGACTAAACACAGAAGCAGGAAGTGTAGCCACAAAAGACAACCAGAGAAACAAAAACCAGATCAATAACTAATTAGAGGAGCCGTGTAGGCTTGGTGGCAAGAGGGCAGTGGGGAAGCCCATGGCCAGTCAGCAGGCAGCTAAAGGAGCTTGCCCCGGAGGGCTGAATGCCGGAACCCACTGAACTCTGGGGAGGGGCCTGGCACAGGAAGCAGAGAAGCCTTGTTTCCAACAGCATTGGCTTTAGAAGCCCAGCATATCTGTGGGTCTATCCCCAGAGGTCCTGGGGAGACTGCTGGCTGAATTAGTGAAAGCCTCTTCCTGTTCCCCTTCAACAGTAAACTGGACTACTCTGTACACAGGCCCTCCTCTCCAGACATGCTGAGCACCTGCCCTAACGTGCTTGCCTGCCTCTTCTGTGTCTCTACACACACATGCTCTTCCCTCTGCTTTTAACACCCTTCCACCCCTGCTTTCTCCTCTTGTACCTACTAATTTCTACTAGTGAGTCATGCTCAGATATCACTCCTTTAGGATGTCTTCTCAGACCAAGGATGGAACAGGTACTCGTCCTTGCTCCCCAGCACCCACGGTCACCTTGACAACAGCCTCAGTCTAGGTTAGGTAACACTCCATTTACTGCTGAGCAACTCCAAGAGATAAGGAGCAACTCCAAAGCACTGACTTTTCCATACCTGCACTCCACACTGCTGGCACAGAGACTGACATACAAGAAGGACCCACTAAATGTTTAATGAACAGAAGGAAGAAGACCATAGGTTCTAGGAAAATCCATTTTTGTTTTACTCTCACACAGTGCCTGGCACCAAATAATCGCTCAATTAATTATGTGATGGTGCTGGACAGAATAAGGGACTTGTCCTGGGGAGGAGGTAGCTTATTTACCAGACCCTGAATGCCACCAGCTCACAAGCCACCTCCTTGTCGACATGCCTCTTATTAAAGCCCAAGCTGAAATGAACTCTTCCAACTCTGTTCCCCTGGCACTGTGCCTGAGCCTTCCTTATGTCATTTCTCACACTGTGGTCGCACTGCAGTCATCTGCACTCCTGAAGAGTGGAGAATAAGCCCTAATTATCAGCGTGTCCCATACAGTATATCCCCAAGGACTGGCAGAGAGTTAGGGCCCAGAGGATGTTCCTGAGTGGATATGAATGAGATACAAGGATTGCCCTGCATTTGGCAATGGCCACAGGGAGAGGCTGGCACAGTCTGGGCTCCTTCCCGTCACTCCTCTTCCCACACATCTCTCAAACACTGCCCAGGGGTAATATCAACCAGAGGCAGGTTTAACAGAAGCCTTTGGTCTGAAAAATAAGGCTTCTAATTTGAAAAGGGCTTTGTCCTTTTTAAAGAACCTGTCAATTTAATTTTTACTACAAACCTGGGTACTAAAAACCTAGAATATAGGAGGACAGGAAATTACTGTTCCCACTGTACAGATGAGAACAGTGATAACTGCTGACAAAGATCCAGAGGAAACAGAGAAATCTCAATCTGTTTTCCCTACCAGGACCTTCTTTTTGTTTGACGTAGACAATACATCCTCCATATTTTCAGCATTGCCCTGTAGGGAGCCAAGCGGCTGAGAGACCAGGTGCTTCTGGAATTGTCTCCTCTACAGGCCTCCAGGACCAGGGCACAGCCCAGATTGCCTTTTAAAAACATCAACTTCACTGAGACATAATTTACAATTAAATTCACCCATTTTAAATGTTTAATTCATCTTGACAAATACATACACCCATGCATCCACTATATGACATGACTGAGATAGGTATGTTTATAGTTTTTTATTTTGGTATCCAATACTGAGCCTGAAGGCCCACATGCCCTCACAATCAGGATACTGCTTAGTTCTGTCACTCCAAGAAGCACCCTTGTGCCGCCCCTTGGGGGTCAAACTCTTCTCTTATCCGTAGCCTCTGGCACCCATTGATCTATTTTTATCGCTATAGTTTACAAACTTGGTATTTAAAAAACTCACAATTCAGAAAAGATGTTCAGACATACCTGGTTTTCAAGCAATCATTTATTTTGATTCTCTTATTTTTAGATTAATTTTATACCTTCTTGAGCACACTTATAATGATATGGTTATTTTATTTACCAAAGTGAAATCAAGTAAACTCTTTTTAATGAGACTGAAAAATGAATCACCTTAATATTGGAAGAGTAATCTGGATATTTAAAAATTATTTCTGAAATAGGATAATAATATTTCACAAACAACTGCATTTATCTAAAACAAAAAGCATACCCATCAGGTATTTGTCTTTAAATATAAAAAATACATATTAATATTTTTATCATTAAGTCTGATATTCTAAAATTTTTAATTACTTGAGTTAAAAATGTGAAAGCTTTATTTTAAACCCAGGTTAAATAAATTGAGTTCAGTCAGGTCACCTTGAGAAATTCAAAATATCAAGGCAGGTAGCTGAGTCATTATCTTACCCTATTTTTTGGCTAGACCAAAAAGATGAAATTTCCTAATTTTTTCAATTCCCAAGTGATTATTAACTTAGAATAAAACTAGCCAGAGGTAGAACATTTTATTTCCATTTGCAGAAGAAGAAAGTGGTATTAAAAGCAACACTATCATTTTACAATGATTACCAGCAAAGTGAAAAGCAGCTGAAATCATGTCTTCTGAGGTCAGTTTAAAGAATTTGGGGCATTTCATCTGGGGCTCCATATATGGAGCCTACCACAGGCTCTAGAATCAAAGTTCAGCATTGTTAGGTCGCACTGCAGTCATCTGCACTCCTGAAGAGTGGAGAATAAGCCCTAATTATCAGCGTGTCCCATACAGTATATCCCCAAGGACTGGCAGAGAGTTAGGGCCCAGAGGA